TAATAATAATATAATGTAATGTAATGTAATATAATGTAATAGCAATATAATCCCATTTCTCCCCCATCTGTGGGTGCCCCCCTCCCTCCCCTTCACCACATCATCTGAAGCATACAGGTTGCAGCTTTTCTCTGCACGAACTTTATCCGCAGTCCGGTTCTTTGTCGTATCTATATCTAATTAGGGATGGTCTGGTCCCTTAAAAAAATGGGACCTCGAAACTTATTAACCCTTTCATTGATGAGACGCCTATCTTCTTTTGTACGGGCTTTATAAATTGTTTGTCCAAGAGAGATTTAAGCAAAGCCATAGCACCTGTCACCTCATCTAAGAATAAACAACTGCACATGCGGTAGTTATATCTCCTAAACCCTCCTCTACAGGCCACTTTAAGAAAATAAATAGCTTTGAACATGTTTTGAGGAACACAAGTGAATACATATGTCCACACAGCAGGGAAGAGGTTAAGACGGGTCCAATTGGAGAATTACTCATGTTTGTCTATTTAAGCTTTAAAATCTCAGATAAGTAGAGGAGAGATGTTGATTTACGCCGACGCACTCTATCCGCCTACTGTTATAGTTTTCACGTCTTGTCCGAGTTCATTTGGCTACATGAGTCACACGTTTGGCCGGACCCATGGCCTTCACCCTCTCTTGCTTCAGTGATGACTTACCTGGTCTGATTTCTAATGTTGACAGATGTACATTTCTGACCAGGCAAAAAGTTAAAGTGCATTTTGTATTTTTGTATATTTAACAAAACATCTAGACAAAGTTTTCGTTTAGTTTACGAAGTGAATATTTTAATCTACTGTAAAAAAACATTTAATTATTTTATTTTTCAGTCTCTTCGGGGTTTATTTTGTTTTGTTTTTTGCCAAATCAGGCTTGGTTTTCACAAAACTTTGGGCCATTTTTTAAGAGGAAATAGCTCCAAGCCCACTGTTATGAAAGAGGTGAATCACGGATGTTATGAAAAAGACGATCTCAAAGCTGTACCAGGTTTGCCAACAGGATAGACTCTTGAAGATAATTTGAACAAAAAAACAAAACAAACAAAAGTTAAGGATCCCAGTTTGTGACATTACTTTTTGTTCCCCCTTGCTCCCTTTGTCGAATGACGAATCATGGTTTCGTGCCTGTTCAAGATTCCAACTTTTAGGCTTTTAATGGGGGGGTTCTCGTGATCTAGAGGTAGAGTGTTCGCCTCTTATTCAATAAGTCTCGGGTTCGAAATCTGACAACGACAGAACGTTTTCTTCTGTTCTGTCGTCGGCTTCCGTCTCCACTTTCTACTCCCCCTCCCGTGTCCCCTCCTCTGGGCTCTCGACTATTCCTGCTGCCTTTCTACTGCTACCCCTTGGCTCCTTCCTACTGTTGTCTTTCAGCCACACCCTTAGTCTTTTACCCAGTGCCCAGGGGAGATCGCCAAACCAATCGTCAACCGGTAGCCCTATTGGCAGCCTGAATACAAACGCGTTTGTTTTTGAGGCTGCAAGTCGGGCAATCGGTTTGTGCCACGATGGTCGCGTTGCCCCCTCAATTTGGCTACCCCCGCCTGCCAAACCGAACCGAAGCGAACCGATCGTGCCAACGGGCACCTCGTATTAGGGAAGGTAAGATCTAACTCCTAGCCCTCTCGGATAAAGGCGGAAAAAAATATGTCGGAGGTCCTGTGTACCTTGGTGGGCCTACAATCAATAAGAGAGGCTTTGGCCACCACCCGACAAAATTCAAAATTAATTTCTACCAAACTGAAAATGCTTGATGTGTCCCGCGCGTTCATATGGCCTTATGCAATTGCGTGCGCCGTTAAACACTTACCCCAAAAGTAGTTTGAATTACAAGAAGTGAGTTGTCAGCGAATTGAGTGGTGTATCAGAAATAACGTTATTAACAGCAATTTCGTCACAAAAGTACCAATTTCATAATATAATGTTGCTATTTCGTTACATGCCTATGAATTCGGTGTAAAAATCCAGAGAAGAGCTTTGCTAGCCTTCACGATTTATGGATTTGCTTAAGAGCAACGTATCCATAGTGCGTGTGTATGTGTGTGTTTACAAGTTCATTTCCTATTTGCCAAAACCCACAACAATTAGCTAATATAACGATTTCAATATACTAGGAAATCAATATAGGTTAATTCTTACCCACCTCCCAAAAGCAGAAAACATGAAAACGTGTTACTGGGCCAACCAAATCCAGTTGTTTACGCCAAGGCCACAAATGGTTGGTAAGTATTTGTTGTTTTATCGAGGAAGGGGTTGGTAGAAAAAGATAACGTATTTTTTATGGACTTGCATTCAGAAGGGAAATGTGTAAAAGAATTTAAAAGTACAAGATATATCAAAACAGCGCATGTTTTGTTGCGCATAATGCAGTTTCGGAAAAAAGAGTTATATCTATACACACGAAAAAACAACAACCTGAGTTATTCCAGCCCATCACCAAATGCGTTTGCATCGACGACCCCGATTCTGAAATAAGCAAACCAAATGCCTGCCCATCCCGATCTCCTTCCAAAATACCTCAAACCTCATATTGAATTATAAGTTGACTCATAATCTATGCATGTGGTACTGGTAAAGAGTACGAACTTTCATTTGCAACCTTTTTTTTAAAACCATTATCTTGGCCATAAAACGTAATGGACTTAAATTAAGATTATGTCAAAGACTGACGAAATTGAAACACGCTGGTGACGAAATGGAAACACAATAATGAAACACTCTAAACTAAGTGCCTAGCAAGTCAATGCTACTTTAGTTCACCAAATTATCTTAACTAAACATGTTTTTAAGTCTTCCATTTCATTGGGGAGTCTGTTTTGACAATGTTACACTGAACCACCGTTGAACTGACTAGTAAGAGAGCTTTCTTGCAATTAAACCGTGTTGTGTTATTGCTCGAAGGCCTAGTTTACGATGTCTAGACCTTAACACGACAAAAAGCCTCTCATTGGCTGATGTGCCGATTTATTTGATTTGCCAGTATTTTAAAAAGGCGTTCAACACTCAACGAGTGACAGAAATGGGAGGAGTTATAAATGGACCACGTCATGAAACAAGAAGTCTACAAGACCAACCAGCGTCACATGACCCCCTTGCCGGTCCTGTCAGAACAGCAAAGGGAAAAGAAGCTGAGATGAGACGGCCATATTGTGATTACGGTCAAGTTGCCTTTCTTATATCGTTCTACCCGGAATACTGTGGGGGAGAAGAAAGAGCGGCAGACAGGAAAAAAACCCCTCACACAATGAACAGGGGGCACAACTGAGTAGACAGTGGAGTCTTAGTCAGAGACTCCTACCCTCGCTCAAGACTGTCTGAACAGTAAGGTAAACAGATCACCAAGACCGTGCCCCGAAGGCTGCATTAAGAGTTAAGGTTGCAAAAAGATGAAGTTCAGCCATTTTATCAGTTTCACGACCGTACTGTTCCTGGCGACAACTTATTGCTCCTCTCCTCAATTCCCCAACAAAACAACCCCCCACCCCCCCCTCAAAACCCCCAATCAAACAAGAAAAACAAATTGTACAAAAGAAAAAGAAGAAAATCCAGATCCCCTAAATAATACAAAAATCAACCTGTCTAGGTCAAAGGTGAACCCGAAGGCTTTTAAGTGTGCTGCACCTCCAGCTTCTTTCATGGCACGCTTCTACGTCAAAGCAGGAGGCAGCCAGTGAAAGAACCACTTACAGAGTGTTCATGGCAGATAAGGAAACTAACCAACAACACTCTCACTCCTTTTTGTACGCAGATTCTTTTTTTTTTTAAAGGGGGCAGCAGAGCTGGCTTGAGAGCTATCATGACCATGCCATCGAGGCCTATCACGTTCTGTAGCACCCCTAGTGAAGAGACCATGGTTCTCTCCTCATCTTTGAGGCCGAACAAATAGTCGGTGACATGACCTCAAATTGTGTTTGGAGACTCGTCATCCCGGGGCCAAAGTTTGACACGAAACTTTGGCCTTGGGAGACAGTAAATCTTTGGGTAGGTGCATGTCCGAAATGCCATATATAGTGGAGGGATTTTTACGAGAACTGCATTAAAGCTTTGCACTCAACGAACAGCCTACTGTCGCTTGATACGTGCAGTCATTGAAAAAACTTGTCACTTGCGGGGTTTGATGAGTCACTCGGATGCTGTTTGGTGCTGATATAAGAATGCTTCAAAGTGGGTGAAAGTACTCAGAACAACGACATCGCTCTATATTGGTCACGGATTTGAGAAGGCAGTAATACGAACAAACATAATAAGATGACTGCGACTTCAGAACATAAGAATGTAAGTCTCTTTAAAAAGTGTACCTGGTTCTAGGAAATATGAAATGATTCTGATTTTAAAATCATACGATAACCCGCATAATGTCCACGCTGAAAATAAGCAAAAATACTTAAAATGTAAAAAAAAATTAAAAAATTCAGGGAAGAAACAACATTTAGTCAGCAAATTCGTTTCGTCTTAACAACCATTATCGCGTCGAGGGAATTAGCACATCTCGCTGACAAGATTCGTCATCGATGAAAATACTTGATGATTCAACTGTTTGGTTTCAACCTTGTGTTCTAGGATCTGTAGGCCCTACCGGTCAAAATTTTCTATTGAGTTTTAAGTCTTCTGCAACTGTTGGTCTTAAAAGAGTATAACTAGTTCAAGAATTTCTTGGAATGCGCTCGATTTGGACGATATGTTTCATTATAAATGACGCTTATGTTTTACCCACTTTCTTGTGAGTTGGAAAGTTTTCTTTTCCGCGAGGTGTAACCAATATAATGTTCTGTCTGTGTTTCTTGTTCAACCGTCGACGGGACAAAGACTGTGTTATTTTGAATTCATCGGACACCGTCCTGACCTGAAAGCTAACCTTCTAAGAAAGACGAACCAAAGTTGGATTGAAATCCAGACCTTCCACGTTTACTTGAAGATCGTAGTAAATCTGGCCACACACAACAGTGTAGACAGACCTTCTTCTTCTTTGCGTTTCCCTGTTCAATCTCAGGGTGTAGTCAACTGCGGGTTTTTCAACCTGCAATGCAATTAATTTTTACGTAGGTGGCTGTTTTTTTCTGACAGAAGATATTCGGAGACGTCCCTAGCGACCCAGGAACTATTTGGAGACGCTCTCTCGCACATGCACTGCTTTGGGGGGGTCAAACTGTGTATTATTTGCTGCAGATCAGACATATAGCCACTAAAACAGTCGCAAATCAATTATTTTCAAGAAAACTCCAGTTTTAACTGCAAAATATCAAATTATGGGTTAAAACAGTCCCCCCATGTACACCCCTAGATTTGGGAAATTTGGTCTAGAGACACAAAGCATTTTGATCGGTCTATTTCCGTCGGAGCCGTCTCCGAATAGATACTGCAGTTTTTCCAACCTGGTAGGGCCCCTTGCCTTCATTCAACCACGCTCCGATTTCTAACGGAATATATATTTTTGTACTGACTAAAGTATATTCAGTTTTGGTGGGAATTTATTCAGAATTTTGCACGGGCAGCGGCCGAAGACTACTCTTATCTGTTTTAGGAACACCAAGGGATCTTTAACGTGATCAACTTGCACACGGTACCTCCGTGATTCGCCCATTTTAGAGAAGGCTAGGCATTCGATCTTACATACCTTTAGATCAGGGGTGTTTTTGAAAGATAGTAGTAAGAAGGAACCAGGACAGGCAGTAGAAAGAGTCACGAATAACGGAAAGAAGAGCAGAAAAGGAGTCAGGGATGGCTGGGGGGGGGGGGGGGGGGGGGGGGGGGTAGAGAGAATGGAAAGAAAGGCAGATGCCAGAACAGAACTAGTGGACAGGACTAGTGGACAGGGCTAGTGGACAGGATAGGAGGACAAAGGGGAAGACTTTAGAAAAGAAAATGTTCTCGCATTGGCAAGTTTCGATCTCAGGAACTCTTGGCCACTGAGCTTTATTACCTAACAATGGTAAAATGAAATATGCAACAGTGTGGTTACGCCTTTAATCGGTGCAACAGAAGATTGAAGTTCTAATCTGAAAGGGGTCCTTATGCGTATTTTCTGTCTTTCCTAAAAGACTTCTTCTCATCCCGAAGTCCTGAGGGGGGAACCCCGTGCTCCGTCTTGCAAGTGGCTTGCACTGTGTGGTAGGACACCAAATACAATAAGCACGACGACAGCAACGGCGAGATGCAGTAAAGGCAACAAGGAGGGAAGGAGAGACTGAGAGAGAGAGAGAGAGAGAGAGAGAGAGAGAGAGAGAGAGAGAGAGAGAGAGAGAGAGAGAGGGGGGGGTGGTGGTGGAGGTGACATAGATTTGATTTGTATTGACAATGAAAGTCATTGCAAATGAGCGAGAATAATTGAACTAGCAAATGTGTATTGTGTGGAGGGAGTGTTTTCATAATATGCGTCACGACGTGGTGGAATCAGGCGCTCGTCAATTTTTGGGCGTATGTAGTTATTAATATCATTTTTTAGCTTGTTCATTTGTCTTGAACAAAAGGAAAACAATAAGCATTTATCTCGAAAAGAAGTCTAGATGTTTGTGATTGAAGAAGGTGGGGCTCGCCTGGTTTCAGAGGTAAAATTAGCGAGAAAAAGCTTTAAAAAATTTATTTTCCTTTCGTCATGTCTTCTTTTGATAGGCAAAGGGAGTTCTATTTGTATAGTTTGCAATATATAGGGACTTTCTTGCACAAAGTTGAAGAATTGGAATTTCATGGAAATTCTGTTGTGGCATTAGTGACGCAATTCTAAGATATTCATATTTGTGGGACGTGCATTTCACACATTACAGTGCATGCTAGGAGACATTTTTAGCTTGAAAAATAAGGGAACAAAGTTTTCATAAACCTGGAATCGACAATTATGACAGTGTTATGTCAAGAAAAGATGTTCCAATGCGGCCTTTCAGATTTCGGCATTATAATACATAAAGTGCTGATCAAGAACTAAGAGCAGATCGTAGCTTTCGTGAGACCAGGTAGAATGTTTAGAAACACAAGTTCAGGTAATGCATTAGCTGGAAATCAACGAAAGTCATTTACATACTGGACACCTGCTGTCGCGTCTCTACTCTGCTCGCTGCGGTTTTTTGTTGTTGTTGTTATTGATCCAGCATTAGCTGGGCTCTCCCCCTTCTACACAATGCCATTTAATGATAAGTGCAGATTTTCTGCAGTTGCTGTGAATAAATTCCATTGAGTGTGTCGTCAAATTTAACGGAAAAGCATAACAGCGATATCAATCAGGGCTGGATAATGCAACAGATGATGGTCCACAGTCTCATGTGTAGTCACACAAAGAACGCTCGAGGGAAGTTCTTATTTTTATTAGAATTTGAGCAATATATTGTTATGCTCTGTTCTCAGGCGGAAGATCATGGTCTGTTCTTTTCTTTGAAGGTGGTTGATATTGTCATTTCGTTTTGTTGCAGCATATTATGTTTGAAAACTGCCATGCACATCTTTCTCTAGTGCCATCTGTTCATCAAATCTTATTTGTTCCTGCTTTTGGTAGTTTGTTTTGCAGTGTGGTATGAAGTTGGATAGTTGGGCTGCTCCTGTCTAGATCCCCTTTTGGCAAAAGTGTCTGCTCTGTCATTTCCATGAGTGTTTGAGAGTCCAGGAATCCACTGCATCACCATGTTTTCAGTATACAATGGTTTTACGTGGTGGGAGCCAAACACTATATGAGTTGGATCTTGTTTATATCACGGTAATCAAAGATGTTATACTGCCTGTAGGGCTGATAGTGAGTCAGTAAAATCCCAATAGTCGGCAGTTAGGAAAAAAAAACTGTGCGGAGCCGATGGTATAGTGATGTTTCCATTGTCTTCATTTTTGCATTCTAGTTGCTGACTTGCTATCTACAGCCTGCAGAGATCTCATTGGAATATCCATCTGAGTATTGAATAAATATCCCATTCCGGCTTTGATTGAGCTTTGAATGTTGAGCCGTTTGTACAGACATATATCCAGTCGTTTGAATAACTGTCGATTGCTTGATGTGAGCAAGCATAAGCGTCACTGGGTCTGACGATTTTATGTGCTTTTGTCTCTGAGAGATGTTGTAATGGTTGGTTCTTTTAAAGAAATGTGGGGAGGAATGTATTTGGTTTCTTTTGTGTTTATGGCAGATGGTGACTTTCTATAAGTTCTGTTATGTGAGGCCTGATAGATATTTTTTTTAAATGTAGGGTTGCTGGTTTTTTTTTTTGTTTCCCTGCATTGATTAGGGCACAACATTTTGATTCTTTCCTGAAGTTCCAAAGTTGCTCTATCTCTGTGGATTCCCAGGAGCTACTCATTTGCAAGGATTTTACATGTGGCTGTAGATGTGGTTTTCATGTCACCGTTTATGAAACAAAGGACATTATTCTGGACCTCGTAAAGAGTTTCGGGTGTTGCAAGTGGTTGAACTTCATATAGCGAGACAACCAAGGTCAAGAGCCCTCAGAATTTGTTTTTCTGAGCCCTGTGTACTGCTTGTAACTTGTTATAATTGTTGAAGCTTTCCCTTGGTCCTTTAATGGCTTTCTGTAAAGATGGTGTACACTGTTTTTGTGCAGTTTATTTTGAGCTTCCATTTTTTACAGTAACTGTGGAGCATCTTGAGGTCTTTATTTAACTTCCTTGTCCTACTACTGTGCTGTGATATATATGCCAGAGGGCAAGATTATTAACGTAGAGAGTCATTTCAGACTTAAATACCTTTGCCACATCATTGAAAACGATCAAGAACATTGTGCAACTCAGGCAAGAACTTTGAGGTGAAGCCTTCCTCAAGTACTTCCCTTGACGAAAGGGCAATGTTCCTCTTGGTTCCAACGTTTAGGTCGACAAGGAAAAAATTGTTTCATATATTATTTTTTACTGTTTGAGTGTATCCGGAGGTCCATCATTTTCACGAACAGGCCTTTTTTGCACTCTCTATGTTACCTCTGTTTGAGGTCTACAAATATGGCGACAGAGTGTTTTCAAGACGCTGCCCCAAAAATGACATCTACATGAATGCTAAAAATTGAGAGCAACATACTCTGACATCTGAGGAAGCTTTTATATGCTTTTCTTCGAATCTTTTTCTCCAACACATCTATGACAAATGAGGTCTGGTTTTAGATTCCCATCCTTCATCAACTTCACACTGTTTGATGGGAGTCATCGCAAGTTTCTATGGTTTTAAAAAAAAACTGATAATCTGAAACATGGCAGAAGGTGGATCGGTAATGGTTGATCGCCCATAACTGGATACTTTTCTTCTCTCATTGGTAGCTTATGTTCACGCTGTACCACAGTCAAGGGTCTCAGAATGTGTTCCACAGCTTATAGAGGCTGTGTGTTAGGCCGAAGAAAAGATGTATAGCCTCATTCTTGTAAAACGGTTTCAGAGTAATTGGAAATGGGAATCTCGGTGGCAGTATCCTTCCCTCGAATGGCTTTTCTTATCCCGTGCACTTCAGTTTTGAGAAAAGATCGTTCAGGAGCTCTTCGGGTTTCTTGTGCAAAGTAGCTGGTACTTCAACGCAATTTATCGCGTATTATTCTTACTCTTAGAGAGTTTTTTGTGCCATGATGCAATGAAAATCGAGAAGGACTTCTTAATCATGTACGAATCTATCACGTTGTGGGGAATAAGAGTAATGTAATATAAGAGTAATGTAATAATATATCCTTATTAGAATGTAGACATCCCAGTCTCATGAGCCAGATAATGAATGCTGTTTGTTTTCTAATTGCAGTTTGAATGCAGATTTAGTAGATTAAATTCTTATTCCTCAGGACGGATCAAGGCCTCCAGAATGTGAGACGAACGGGTCTCTGAGAAAACACTGTATCATGCTTCACGACGTCAACTCTGAAAAGTCTCCAGAAAAGGATCAAGTGGTGACAGAGATGGACACAGACAATTCGGAGTACGAAGGTAGCGGTTTCTGCACCCGCTATGTGGAACGGGTGGAGGAGGCGGTGGGGGCATTCCTCAAGCGCAACAAAAGACTGATCACGTACGGCTTTCGGATACTCCTGCTGATGGCCTACATGGGCTACTTTTCCTACTGTATGTACTACAAGTAAGTGGAAAGCAATGGTATGGTCACTTGTCACAAAGGTGATTTGTTCTTTTTGTGTACGAGTTTAATCGCTCTTTCAACTCAAAATAACTTTTTTTCACAGATAGAACGCTTGATTTTGGAGAGGACTCCGTGCTGAGAAAAATGTTGTATTTTTCTGTTGTTTCTAAGAACGCCACAATCTGACACTTGATAAGTGAATGATTTGCTGAGCGCTAAAATAAAAGGAAAAACATGGGTGAAGGCAGGAAACAGAGTTTAGGCGTCCTATCAAAGTAAAAATCTCGAATGGACATTTGCACCTGAATTGTAATGTGTGCCGGTCAATAAAATAATTATTAACGCGGCCGCTCCTCCTGTTTGTGCGCCGATGGCATGTAATACTGAAAAAAACCCCAAGAATAGCAGCAGCAGCAGCAGCAGCAGCGACAACAACAACAACAACAACAGCAGCAGCAGCAACAACAACAGCAACAACAACAACAACAACGACTAGTAGTAGCGAAAACTCATTTTCACCTTTGTTATTTTTTTCTCTTTTCCCCAGATTCGGAGACGAGGGATCGTACATTCTTCTCGGTATAACCATTATCATGTGGTTGATCATCCTGAACAAGCTGACACCAATGCTCAATATCCAGTGCACTCTCCCAACAACGCTTCAGACTTACAATACGAGCCAGAGAGCAAAGAGGATCCGGCACATAATTCGATAGTAAGCAATTTCCATCGTAATCTGCTCCTTGGTGGTGGTGGTGGTGGTGGTGGTTCTTCTTCTTCTTCTTCTTCTTCTTCTTCTTCTTCTTCTTCTTCTTCTTCTTCTTCTTCTTCTTCTTCTTCTTCTTCTGG